CGTGATCCTCTTAATTCAAGACTACATCTTTTCCTGATGTAAAAAAATCCCATCTGGGACACCTCCACAGGGCTTTGGAGATGCCAAATGGCAGCAGCAGCAGGAAATCCAAAATACACTATCAGTAAGACAGGTCCTGTACTGATAAATCACCAAACTTCTACCAAACTACCTAATCCAACCATATATACACACCTGAGCGTCCTTCTCAAGTGATGTCCTGCAATGGATACTTGGAAAAAAAGCTATAAAGCTACAGCAACAGCAAACTACACAGTAAATCCATGGAGATCTGTATTGCTCAGCTCCAGCCAATTCATCATTAATTGATTTCCAGTGCCATTTAGGTTATTGTTCTTGGAACACTGTTTTTCCCCTTACTTTGCCAATTTAAACAACAGATATTCATCTCAATGTTTCTTCTTCTTTTTCTCAGTATACCTCAGCTCTTTGCCTTTAACCATTTTCCTATTGTACTAATACAGACTTTTTATTCCCAGAGAACAAGTGTGTTTCCATTGATTAAATTTTCAAGTTGTTGCCAGGTTTTCCCTCTGCAGGCCCTCTTTTGATATGAGGAAAAAGGCTACCCAAGAGAAGCTGGTACTTACAATACAGTAACTCCACCATATATTCCCTTCTATCATTTAATTTCTAAACTCCAGGTCATTTTAAAGCGGGACACAATTTATGATGCCACACGTCAAAGGCTGGCTTGGGCTGCTGGTTTGCTTTTTTTTTTTTTTCTTTCCTTTGGGTAGGGGTTTGGTTTATTATCTCATTGTCCATCCTGGGTCATCAGAAATGTTTTCTTTTCAAATAATTAAACAGCAGCATTATCATTCACTGCTTTGGATTTTCACGTCTCTTGTTCTGTCTCTCATCTTTTATACCAACATATCCTAAACAAAACATTGAAAACCAAACATTGGCAGGTTACACTTAGCCAGAAATTTCTGCTCTATAAATAAAGCTTTGAAGACTTAATGATTTTTAAATTATTTGTTTGGTAATTCCAACAGAAACAGACTAGTTCAGAGCAAACAACAATTCCCCGGGAGCACATACAACTCCAAAAGGGCTTTGCCACTTTAGGGTAGTCTGAAGAGCAAAGCATTCTAGGGGGGAAAAAAAAAAAGGCAGAGTGAAAGTGAAACTGGAGAAATGTGTTGTCCAAGCCAAAACAAGGCCAAAAACAGAAGGGAAAAAGCATCCCTGAGAGCTGGCTGCTCTTTCAGCGCTCTTCCCAGCTCCACAGTTTTCTGCTACAGCAGCTCCTGCACGTGCAGGCAGATAAGGAATACCCCCAGCATGGAGACCCAGATCTTTGGGATTCACCCCAACGGAAGGGAGAAGCAACCCATGCTGATACCACCCAGAAGCCACACAGTCCGTCAGAAAACCTTTGGATAGATACCTGTAAGTACGAAAACCTTCCCTGGCCAGCCCTGTCAGATATCCAGCACTCCTGTCTAGTGGAAGGTGTCCCTGCCCACAGCAGGGGCGTGGAACGAGGTGAGATTTTAGGACCCTTCCAACTCAAACCATTCTGTGATTCCATGATATTCTGGGCATTGCTCCCCGCATTCAGCAGTTGCTGAGCTGTGCACTTCATGTGAGGCAGCACCAGGAAGTTCAGAGGAAAAACCTGCCCGCAAGACCTGTTGCTGAAACCACCTTTTTAAATATCTCTCACTACAAAAGGCTGCAGCCAACAGCCCAAATGCAAGCTCCTCTCCATGGGAAGGAGGCAATTTGGGGAGCAGAAGTTCAAGGGCAAGGAGTGCCTGGTGCTCTGGCAGATCCAGGAAGGGCAGGCAGTGGAACCTCAGAAGCACTGACCTGCAAGAACAGCCATGAGGACCAGGCTGCCACGTAGGAGAGATGAAGTATCCGACTGGCCTCGGCTCCTCCAGCCTTCCAGTAAGCCAAATAAATCCAAGGCATATCATCTTAAGACTAATAGAAATTAAGGCACTGTGTGAAGTAAAAATGTGCAGAAACAATATCTTCTGCCTTAAAAACTAATAAACTCGGGCTTCACCTCAACATTTGTGTAGCAACAGGAGACGGCTGTCCTGAGACAACATCCCGCGCTGTGTGCTTTATGAGGCTCGGGCATGACGGAGTACTGATGGATATTTGGGACAGCATGTTCTGGTGGAGCGTTTTAAGAAAATACGAGTGCTGTCAAAGGGCAGGCTTTCACTTTATGCTTGCACATAACACCAGAATAAAATATTGCCTTTGGAGAATCTCACGTTTTTTTTGATTAACACAAACACACGAGGAATATCTCCATCTCTCAGAGCCTTCAACTTCTCGCCTGTGTTTTCCCCCGCACTCGTGGTCCCACCTCAAAGCCCCATCCTTCCCCACCAAGGGAGGGGACATCCCCAAGGCACCTACCAGCCTGTCCTCTGAGGCCAGAGCATTCTCTTACAAAGCTGTGATCTGCAGTGGAGCAGCCAAGAGCTGCCTTCCAGGGCAGGATGTTGTCTTCATGTTCAGCCTTGCTTGTGGTGGGAAATGCCGGGGGGCCACTGACATCCTTTGTTCCTCCACTGCAGCACAGGCAGTGTAATGCAGTGTAATCTGTATCCAAGCACCAGTGGTACCCCTAGGCCTACAGTGTAACTATTCCAGGTGCCACCCCTGATCCGCAGTGGCAGCCGAGGCAGTGGCAAACCAATGCAGCAGAAGGTGGGAGACATTATATTCCCATCCCTCAGGACAATGTCTTCAGGCCTTTCCTTTCTCCATTCCCACCTATCTTATTTTGTGAGGTTACATTCCAGCTTCTCACTCAAGACTCCTCACTGAGTCAACGGGGAGATTCCAAGGGATATTAATTGCTGTTTGAAATCACTTCAAAGGACCTTTTTTCCCCCTCTTGTATTAATAGCCGGAATGAGGAAATTGGTTTGGTTTTCGTACTTCCATCTGCTCCCCGAGTCTCTGTGCATTTCAAAACCCCATCTTAACCCAAGCCTGTTGCTATTCAGGGCTCCTGCTCCATGCAGGCGCTCACACCCGTTCCTTTCCACTTCCCCACAGATATACAGCCCCGTGTTCCAACTGGCAGCCAGAGGTGCCAGAAATAACCACAAGAAAGGCTGCCATGAAACCTCCAGCCAAGTTCTGAAGATCCAAGCACTTGACACAAGCCTCTGCGCTTAGAGCGCTTCAGCTGAAGGCAACCTGAACTCGGGCTCATAAGGTTTGTGTATCAGGGATCAAATATCAAAAAAACGTAAATGCAATTACCTTTTTTTTTCTTTCCATGAAAACATGCAGGGTAACAGTTGTTCTACAAGGCTGTTAGTGCATACTTGTAACAGTCTGCTGCTGTTCTGCCCCTCTGGTACTAGCTAATGGCTGGTTTTCATTCCTAAGTGGTTCCCCCTGGCCCCCCCGTCAAAGTCTATGCTACAGTGATTTTGGAAACTGGGTCAAAATGTAATTACTACATTCCCATGCTTTGGGGTGGGGAAAGAAAATAAAAGGAGGAAGAATGGCAAGAAGAAATGGCGTTGGCGGTGAGCCAGTGCTGTGCTCCTCTCCCTCTCACCTGAGCTACAGCCCCAAGCGCTCCCACAGTGGCTCTTTTTTCCCAGCACAGTTGTCAGGGAAGTCACAGCGCGGGGTCTCCTGGCCAGACACCAGCCAGCCCTGCCCTCACGGCTGTGCTGGAGGACGGGAGCAGGGGGAAGATGCAGCTGAGGACTGGGGAAAGACCCCATGAGAGGGGAGCAGCCCCAGCAGAGGACAAGCAGTCACTGCCCTGTGACTCTCAGGGGAGGCTGTAGTATCCAGCTCATCTCTCCAGAACTCTCCCTGAGCCTGCCATTCCCATGTTTTCCCTTCCTGTAGCATAAGCAATAAATCCCAGTACTTTGTTTCCCCCACTTCACTGAGAAGTGTGTGTAAACATTTTCCACAGGAGAAGGAAAACATTTGCTGTGTGTTTAGACATGCCCTTATTATTGTCACACTTACAGCACAATCTATCATACCTTATCAAACTGCACATCTTCAGCATGCAGATGCTTTGTGACGACACATTTAGGAGGCTTTCCAATATGGAAAAGGGAATGACTCAAAGACTTATTTATTCCACATCTTCCTAACTAGGTCTCTCTGAGAAACACAGAGCCCATTATACACGTCCCCTGCCTTCCTCTGTCCCTCATTGTTCCTTGTACATGCAGTTATCACAAACCAATTCCCTTTGCTGCTCCTCTGCCCAGCTTTGTTTTCCACAATTCTCAGAATATCAGTTCCAACTCTGCAGCATTTGCTGGCTCTGCTCCCAATTAATAACTGCAGGTTAGAGCTGTGTCGTTATGGCTGCAGATTAACGCCAAAAAACATTCAACAGTTCCCGAGAGATACAGAGAGACACACAACCTTTCTCTTCCTAACACCGAACGTGGTTTATCTTGCTATCCCAGCATTCCAGGGAGATGTTATGCCACTTATCTAAATGATTTAAGCAGATCAGAAAGTTGGCTCAGCAAGAGCACTTGCCACTGACAACAAACCACCAGCCTGATGTTATCTGAGAAGTAACTGTATATTCTAGCACAGGTTAGACAGATCATACACAGAATTAAAAAAATTCATTTTCATGAAATCACTCTGTCATCATCCCCACACAAGCAGCAATTAAGCAAGCAAGAGCACACAGCAAAATGACAAGTTTCCACTGGACGTCTGGGTTCTTTCAGAGGTGTTGCAAGGCACAGGATTGTGAAAACCCCAGAGCTGCTCTGGAAAGCTCTCCTGGTTACAATAACAGAATTGGTGCAAAAGATCTTGCACCTGAAAAGCGTTTTATACTGGTCACGACCCGTATCAGCAGGAAAAACTCTGTGAAATACCAAGTCTGGCACAGAGGGAAAAGGCAGCGTCAGGATTTCAGACTGGAGGTCACTGCACCCCTCCTGACTCATTCTGCCTCTCAGTGTCCTGTCCCAAACTGGGCTGCCCAGACCTACCTCCAGTCCTTCCACAGATCCAGCTGTCCCATGGGCTCCTTGAGCAGGAGAACCAGTGACTCGCAGCAGCTCGTCGTCCACATTTGCTCCAGCTCAAACAGAGAGGCAGAGTCCAGCAAACACTGTCCACGCTCGGAGGGACACTAACTTCGGGCCCATGTGACATTTACTATGGCCCACTTCTTCCCTCCCCTCTGCCCCCCCAGGGAAAGGGATCAAAATAGTTTCCCCCCCCGTGACATTTTGCTCCACTTGCCCAACGGGATGTGGGAGTCTCTCCGTTAAAGCCACTGAAAGCCAAGCAGTGCCTGCCACCATTGGGGTGAGCCCCAAAGTGGGGGCCACCCTGTGAACACCTAACCTTCCTGCTGCCGGCTCAGAGGGCCTGGGGTCTGGGACAAACGGGAATATCCCACCAGTACAATTTGCTCTGCCCACACTGGAGGTGTAAGGCGAGCCCTCGGTCCAGTGAGGAATAGGGAATATGTGTAAGGAATATGTGCTGGCTGGCTGTCCCGAGCACCTGATCCTTCACCCCACTCACCCCATTCCATCCCTTCCCTCATCTGGTTTTCCTGGAAATGCAGTCCCTCCAGAAGCCAGCCACATGTCCTGCTGTGTGCACCCCTACCCTGCTCCTGCTGTGGGACCCCCTGCCTCACACGTGTGGACGTGCAAGGACACAGGACACGGCCACAGTCTCGTGTTTCAGCTCCAGGCTGCCAAGGAGCAGCAGCAATAACGAGAAAGGAGAGCTGCGTCCAGCTCCAGATGAAGGCCAGGTCACACCTGCCACCAGAAAGAAAGGAGTGGAGCAGAGCTGGGACTGGGAGCCAGGATATCATTTTCTTGATGGACAGAAGCATTGAAGACATTTTGACCTCTGGTTCAGCAATGGACAGTGCTCTTCCCTTACATCACTTGGGTTACTTTTCATGGCACCTACACTTGCCCTCATCCTGGGTTCTGTACCCAAAAGCAAGTGTTCTGTACTCAAAAGCAACTACTCGCTCAAAATGCAAGATTTGCCTCCACAAAACCTGTATCTCAGACACTAAAATGGATAAGATTTCCTAATTTTATTAATTCCCCCACAGCCAACTCTCTCGGAACACAGAGCACACCTTAATTCCAGCTCTACCTAAACTCATCACATACCTTACTTAGCAGTTACAAGTAAACAGAGCACGTGTGTCTCCCTTTCCAAGGCAAGGATGTGAGATAAAATGCAAAACTCAAAAGCTGTTCCCAAGGAAATCCCCTCTCCCCTCCATCTTGGACACTGCAAGTCTCTGGAAAGGATTTAATTCCCAGCACGAATCAGCTCAGGTCACATACAGCTGAGGCACTTTTTTCCCCCTTTCTCTTTGAAGTTGCTGAAGCAAGTGTAGCTGTGGCAACGCCAGCGTCAGCTGGAGCATTTGGATATTGCAGCACCCTGCTCTGCCCAGAGCCTGCTGTGCTGCACAGAGAGGCTCAGAGACAGCCTATGCTCCCAAGTGTTCAGTATGGAGGTGGAACAGGCACATGGGGAGATGCTCTCACCTGTGATGTACAGGTACAAAGAGGAACCAACTTATTCATCTGCCACCTCCAGCATGGAAAAAACAAAGCCAGTTTAGCCCCACTCTGGTGCCTTACCCATTTCCTTCTCATCCCAACCTACCTGCAGGCAATGGAAACTCATTATCAGCCTCCAGTTAAGCCTCAGAAGAGATTTTCCTTCCGTAATTAACTCTTCACAACACTCACTTTTTGTTGTTACCTTTTTGCCAGGACTTTTGTGAAACAAGTCTGAAAACTTTTTAAAATGTTTTTGATTTAAAGAATGCTAATAAGTGATAGAAGTAAGAATGGTAATAAGCGACAGAAATAAGCTTCAGAGCAGTTAAGTCTGCAGTGCAGCAAACAGCCTCGTTTTTGCCCCAGAGTTATCCAATGGATAACAAGAAGATTCTGATGTATTTTGGTTTTGGAAACAGAAACATGGCTGTGTTTTCACCCCTGGTGCAAATGAAGCTGGTACTGCCAGATTACCTGCGAACATACAAGCCTGATACACCTGCACAGCTAATCACAGCCTGTCAGGTTATTTTGGTTTGTTTTTTTTTTCCCTCTGGAAAGCTGGAATGCCACCCTTACATTAACTTGTACTTGGGAACAAAGCCAAAGCAATACTGCTGCCAGTCCAAGAACGCCTAACGAAGAACTGAATCCTGTTCAATTCAAACCTACAGAGAAAAAGAATGAAAACACATGGAAGACAAACACAGCAGAGTATGCAGCAGTTATCTCTCCTTTAAGGCTTAAGGATTTCAGTACACTGGAAAAAACTTACTGTTGATGTCATTAAAACTCTGTTTGGAAGTGACAATATTCCGAATTCAACGTGCAGCCATCGCAGAAACCAGGAGAATTCTAAATTCTTCAACTCCATGGAAATTAATACCAGCTAGGGGAGGGTGATTTACAACAAACCAAGCTATTTTTAACTGCCTGTTAAAATGCACATTTCTGGCTTCTACGGCTGGCACAGTTTTCAGACAAGTAATGGACCATACTAAAGCATACTGTGGCACTGAATGCTGCAGTGGAGAGCCTGCTTCCAGCACAGGACATGGAAAACCTGCTCAGGCCAGCTCAATCTCTAGCTTTCACCACTTGTCTGTGTGGCCTTCCACATCCCTACTGAAAACAGGAGGAAGCAGAACATGCTTATGGAAAAGACCTAGTTCAGTCCCAAGCATATTTGTTTAGAGATGTTTCCGAAAGAAAAAAGGGATATAAGACCCCAAAATTAATACTGGTGAGGAAAGGAGGGGAAAATATATTTAAAGAAATGGACAGAAGAAGAAGAGTTTTTCTGTCTGTAGAAGAAGGATCCTAAAGAAAATCCTGAACTCCTTTAATAAGGCATTTTGAGAACCAAAGAATAAAGGAATTAATCTATTTCTGTTATTAACCTGTGCCTCAATTGATTTGCCAGTGCAACCTGGGTTTCCCTTAAGGAGTCTGACTTGAATGTGGGAAAGCACCGCTGACTCACCCAGAACTCCACTCAAGTTTCTTAACCTTCTCCATGCTTTGATCTCCCCATACCAGAAGCCAGAACTTCCTTCTCAGAAAGCCTGAAAACTGACAAACACAAAAGCCCCTGAAGTGGAAGGAGAGCCCTCCCAGCCCTGCATTTCAGCCATTCCAGAGAGAAGGTTGTGCACAGCCTTAAAGGTGCAAGTTTATTTCCTGGAAACCTTGACTCAATCGATCCATTTACAAGCTCAAGTCTTTTGAAATGAGGGTTCATTTTAATTTTAAGAATTTTCCTGTTAACAACAACAAATCATCCAGTTCTGTAAGTTATGAGATTATTTCTTCAAGCACCTTCTTTGTGATAGAGGGAATCACAGGGAAAAAAGACATGAGAGACTTACAGCCAACCATATCTCCACACAGTCCTGTCCAAAACCCGTCTCTCACAGGAATAACACCACTCACTCCAGCTAATGCTACAGGAGGCATGGAATGATGCATTGTTTAAGCAGGTAATTTCGTGAGACCTTTCATATAACAGTTTTCTAAGAACTATTTCACATCCAGGATACAGAGTGGATATTTGAAACAGTTCCCGCTCCTGTGCAAGCAGAAATTTCACCAGAAATTCCTGGTTTGTTAGGTGCCTCACCAGGTTCCCAGTATATCAGCAGAATACTTCCAGGTCCAAGTATTCTAAGACTTCCCTGTGCATTATGGTTTGGACACGTGTCCCTGCACAATGCAAGGGGGTTGGAACTAGATGAGCTTTAAGTTCCTTTCCAACCCACACTATTCCAGGATTCTGTGATTTTGGGATTTGGTGGTAAAGCAGCATCAACCTCGCAGACCGTGTGCATCGCTCACTTAAAATTTCTTGCAGGAGTTGCTGCAGGATCTAATTTAAAAGCGATTATAATTAGCTCTGTAGTATTTCCCCTCACACTTGAGCATGAGTAATCAACTGAAGACGCCAAAACTCAAAACACAAGGGGATTTATCTGGGATGCAAAGACATGAAAAAGGTTCCTTCCTCTCTGAGGTGACACCCCGTTGTCACTGGAACCCTGTAAAATGTTACCTGCCACGAAAGTCACAGGATGAAGCAGCCCAGCCTCAGAAAACAGGGTTGATTTTTCTGAAGCTGAGGAACTTGACCACTGCTGCTTTCAGTCCTGCTGTGCATTATTAAAAGGTCACCAGAAACAAGAGCTCCAAAATGGTCTCTGCAGTTCTTTTTAACAGGATCTTTCTCCTTCTTCCTGTATTGAAAAGCAGGGATGTTTTTAACTCAGTTTAGTAAACATTATCTCCGAGTCAGACTTGGCACCCGGTGAAATGAGTGGGGGAATCCATTTCTCTTGAAATCACTTGAAATTTTTTGCTAACTCAGACAAGCAGCAGGTTGAAAAATTCACCAAAGCCTTTTCTTACTCATCAACCAAAGAGTTTACATTTCTCCCTCCTCCTTTCGTTTGAGTGGCCAGACATTTCCATGGCCATTTAGCGGCTTGCTGGAAAATCCTCCCTCTTCTGCCAGCCTGCCAGACTCTCTGTTTGCTGACCCCGAGAACACAGAGCAGAGCTAATCTATTTACCAAAGCACTTTCCCCGGGGTGGGATGGAGGAAGGTGCCTCTGGAAGAAGAATAGACAGTTAGGCAACATGGGAGTGCTGCTGCAGGCATGAGTGGTTTATCTGCTGTTTGATCTCTTCTGCTGAGGGATGGCAAGAATGGACTTAATAACTGCATAAACACATGGAAGAAGCAGGAGTCTGGGGTGACTTGGGAAGCAAAGACAACTCTATGTTGTCAGCCTGGCTGCTCTGAAACGGTGAAGCATTCACGTTATAAAGAGCATCATCACAAAGACAGTGGTCATTCTTTTAAGGTGAAGAAGTTTCTAACTAAGCAACAAGATGGACCAAAGTAAGAAAAAGTATTCAAAATTTCAAATAAGAAATTTCCCATAGATATTTTTTCTAGAAATACTTCCTGACTCCTTTGCATGGGAAGAAGAAAAAGAAATCCTTCTAAGATACCACGAGATCAAACTGAAGTGCCATGCGTGGAGATTCCAAGGAGAACTTTCACCAGTGTTTTAACTGGGATGTCTATTGCTTCCTGCCCATACCGCTTCAATGCTCTTCTCCAGCCTCAGCTCTCTACCCCTCCCCAAGTCTCTACCAGTGCCACAATGACTTCCATCCCTTATCTCTACACCTTACTTGATCTCTTTGATGAGTTA